AGATGACTTGCCAGAAATGAGCCTTTGAGATGCAGAGGGTTTTCATCATCTTACCACTGACTCAGAAAATGGTTTTGCTAAAGGAAGCACAGTCTGGAGTGAATTGCACAAAAAAATCCCCTTCTGTTTGTTTGTTTACTGTTAAATGTGTTACGTTGTATTGGTGTTTACATGTATTCCTTTAATAAAACCTTTCAATCCAAATTCAGGCCCTGGGTTTCTGAACTTTGTTTGGTTCCTGAAGACAATCCTTCCTACCTAACCAGTACTTTTTGTCCTTGGCTTTTAGGACTTGAAATATTCTAGATATCTTCTTTTTGGTGCCTCTTATGAAGCCCTGTGGTGCACATCTCTATTCTGCTGCTGGTTAAGTAGTGCAAAGTCCATTCTACTCCATTGCTGTAACACCTGGTGGCTGCCAGCAAAACAAATCAGTGCCATTTTGTTCACTGGGATCAGTGAGAGTCTGCATAAAATGGGGTAAAAGAAACCTGTAGATTTTTCTAGTCTTCTGTCGGTGTTCAGGTAAGATAACACACCTGGGACATCTCAAAGTGGAAATCTATTGCACCCTGTTGAGCATAATGTTTTCTTTGTGTCCCACTATGAAAAACTGGGAGACAAAATGTTTGAAGGCTTGTGCTGGGTAGAATTGGTGCGAGGTGAGCCAGGGCCCCTGCCCAGACCTAAGAGAGGAACTGCAGCTCATACAACACAAGGGGCATAACTTTGCTTGTTTTAATGGCTGTGTTCACAGCTCCTGTGCTTGTAGCACAGCTCGTGTATCTCCTGTGAAGATCAGCTCTCTGACAGCAGTCAGAGGTGCAGTGACTCCGTGCACCTCCGGGGTGCTGAGTGCAGGGTTACGGTGCCGCAGCCGCCTCCTCTCCGTGCTATAAACCTCTTCCTTGGTGTGTCCCCGGGGCGAGGGGCGCTGGGCTGAGGGGGCTGGGGGGGCTGGGGAGGTCAGCCTGCTCTGAACGAAGCACTCAGCACAACGAGGCACAGGGAAGTGCAAAGTAAACGACTAGGGGATTTCTTTTTTTCTTTTTTTTGAGTGTGATGTCATTTATTTTCTCAAGGACACTGAGTAGGAAGCTGGAGAAACAAACTTCCTCTCTGGTGAGATTTATGGTAGGGTTTTAGCACTAAAATGAAAAAGTGCAGTTGTTGATCTCTTTGGGTTTGGGGTTTCTGCACGGGCTTTGCTGTGAGCTGACCTCTGCAGTTCCCAGCTGCTGTCTCTGCATGGGGGGGCCTTTACCTGGGCCCGGCTCGTGCTGGCAAGCGAGCCTGTGGCCCTGTCTGTCCGTGGTAAGCACCCCAAAGTCCCATCCAGTCACAGCCTCTGCGGCTGAAGAGCCCTCAGCTCCGTGTTTTCTGAGCTGCATGGAGCTTTCAAATGGGAGCCCCACAGCTCTTTGCAGGGTCTAAGAAGTCGCATGAACGGGTTTTCTTTGTCTCTGCAGCAGCAGCCTGTTAAATGCTGCCCCTTCCTTCACCTCAGTGGCTGGTTAGCTCAGGACTACCTGTCCCTGCTGCATGCAATCCTTGGGGTACAGCTGGAGGTGGCACTGGGGAGGACCTTCATTGGACCAGTGCCTCTTGTTTAGTTCTGCCATGCTTCTGCCTAGCAGCTTCCTGCACGGTGTGGTCTGCTGGACCTCCTGTGGGTTCTTGCTCTGCAGCAGTACGTGGCACCACGTCCATTCGCCATCGTCTGGTCTGTGGCAGGCTGGGGCATAGCAAAGACCAGACCAGGCCCGGAGCTTTGGGCACCCTGAGTGCCTAAGGACTTTGTGTATGATCTCTCCTCCAGGGCTGAACCCTGTGAGTGTGTTGCTCTGTGGCTCTGCAGGAGGACAAGTGCTCAGCAGGGTCACGGCCAGTGCTGCAGCTCCCGCTCATGTGAGTGCGTGTGGGGGTGAGACGGGGGGTGAATGGGGGTGCTGGCAGCTGCAGGGAGGGCAGGGGGTATGCGTGAGGGGCTCAGGCAGCCTCCAGGACAGAGTGCCTTGTGTGGCTCCAGCTGCAGCTTGGGAAGGGGTGGCAGAGCCAACTCCCAGAGGGAGAGTGGGACTTGCTTAAAAAGTGGCGAGCAGCTGCTGCTGGCAGCAGTGGTGCAGCCTGGCAGCGCGCGGCCGCCTCCTGTGCCGCGGGGCGGGTGGAGATGTGGTCGCTGCCCGAGCCATCTGCAGGAGCAGAGCTGCAGAGCCCTGGCCCCAAGGTGAGGTGTCCTCAAGACAATCCCAACTTCTAGGTAGCGAAGGGATGGAAGTGGTCCCACCTCCTGCATGTGCTGCGTGGTGCAGCCGCCTGTGCCGAGGCAGAGGAGGCTCATCGGGGCGCAGCAGAGAGGGTGCTCCAGACTCCTGGCTGCAGATGACAGCTTAACGTGCTGCCCCAAGGGGACCTCGCTGTCTCTTGGCACACCGGAGGTTCTCCTCCTCCAAGGACAGCTGTCTCCATCTTCTTGGCCCAGGGTCCCATCAGGAGGGATTAGAGCTGCTGCTGGAGGGCTGGGGAAGCGTGCGACGCCAGGCAGCAGGGAATGACATCCTCTGGGAAAGCTCTGGGGTGGTCGCCTTGGTGCTTTGCTGCTGAGATCCAAAGGTGGGCAAGTTTGGGAAAAGTCCTTCTGGGGGTAGTAAACTAGACAATCCAA